AGAAAAGAAAGCAGAATCATATAGCACTTTCAGCCCGAGTTTGCACTAATCTGAGAGTCGATTCTATATCTTCAAACAAGATGAAAATTACAAAAATGAGCAAATTTACTAGATATTGATCAATGAAATTATTAGTATTCTACTAAATTCGCTCACTTTTGTAATTTTCACCTCGTTTCAAGATATAAGGGATCGATTCTGTATCTTCAAACAAGGTGAAAATTACAAAAGCGAGCAAATTTACTAGAATACTAATAATTTCATTGGTCAACATCTAGTAAATTTTCTCATTTTTGTAATTTTAGATGTTAACCAATGAAATAACCAGTATTTTAGTAAATTGCTGACTTTTATAATTTTCACCTCATTTCAAGATATAGAATCGATCCTTGGGATTGAAGTAATAATATTTCGTGCTCTCCTATTGATGTAGCGTGTAACATCAACGAATAGCGAAGCATTTTCTAAGTTAGTGCAAACCCAGTCGGGCCGAAAACACTAATAGTATAAGTACATACAATATAGACCCTGATCATCGGAACCTGATGTAATGAGATCACATGATTCGTCGCCGAGCGCTCACGTTACGCTCTGGATCAGGAGCGTTCCTATATCAGAAATATACTAGGAACGCATCTTCCGTTAAATTATTATTGAAATATGTTTTTTATTAAATAATTTATTTCTATTAACATAAAGTTTTCTATTGTTAATTTATTCATGGTTCTTTAGTGATATACTTATATCTTAACGTAGTTTTCTAATACATTACATAATTATGACGACGTACATTTCGACAATAGCTTTCCACATCATCCGTGAGCTACTATTGTAAGATGCGTTTTTTTTTAATGTTTCCTCAATAGGCCTATTCCACAAAAAGAAGAATTAAAGACTCGAATATGGCTTAGCAAGAACGTAAATATATATCATATTACACGATATATAATTTTTATTCTTCTTTTCGGTTTTTTTTTTGTAGAATAGGTTTATTGGGGAAATCACATTTAAAAAAAAAGCATCTTATAATAATATCTCACGGTAATACGAAAAGATCTTATCGCGAAATGTACATTATCATAATTATGTAATGTATTAGAAAACTACGTTAAGATATAAATTTATCATTAAGGAACAATGAATAAATTAACAATAGAAATTTTTATGTTAATAGAAATAAATTATTTAATAAAAAACATGTATCAATAATAATTTCGCGGAAGGTACGCTCCCAATATATTTTTGGGACGCTCCTAAGCCAGAACGTCGGCTGCCGAGCCTCGAGCGGTGGTGGAGAAAGACCCTCGCCGGAATCAGCCCGAAATGTGCAAACCTTTGCGAGCAATCTTTTAAACTACAAAATGATTTTTCTAAAAAAACCAGCTTCAGGTGATTCGTTAAATAAAATCCAAAATGTTTTCAATTCATTACATACTTGACTTTAGTTCATTATGAAAATATATACTAATGAAAGATTGAATTTCTTAAAAGTTCCACACAATAAAAGGAATAGGAAACAGAGAACAGAGAATAAGAATTTCAACCTATCAAAAACTATGTATTCTACAATACATGATTTCTGATAGGAAATTCTTATTCTCTATTCTCTGTTCCCTGTTCCTTTTATTGTGAGCCCCTTAGATACAATGATTATTATTAATAAAAACAGAATTATTTTCAATAAATATCATAAATTAACTTTCTCGGGGAGATTCCTCAATTTTTATTCTCCTCATCTGACTTGTCACAAAAGGAGTGTTATAATTGATGTTGATAGAATTATACTACTGTCAATTAATACTATAATACATCCACGATTTCACCATAAGAATTTGACTTAAGCTATATAATATTTTTTAGATAATGGATACACCCTTTAAATTTTATTTTTTGACGCTACAAAAAAGATTAAATTTTCACATTTACAATAATAATAATAATAGATTTTAATTTAAATAAAAAAATCAAGGCTACGTAAAAATATTTTATTGTACCTTATATTAAACGTCTCTGAAAGTTTCTTACCCATAGCTTTCGAACTTGTTTCAAACTTCCATTGAAAGAGGAACATTTTAGAATTAGAATTTATTACACTTTAGCATATTTACAGCCAAGAAGGTTTACATAAATTCTTAACTCATTCATACATCCATACCTCGTCCGCAAGCTATCGCACATATATTATAAATTTTTGCTTATCCCTTTACTTTCCTACTTTTCTGGTTAAACTCTCTTCGCTTCTTTACCTACATTATTTCATTTTATTTCTTTTCGGTTTATCCACTTTTCTTTCTTAGTTATATTTACTTCTAATGTTATATACTCTCATTCAATACATATTATCTTTATATCATAGTTTTATCACTGTTTATTATTATTATCATCACATTTATTTTCTTACTTACTTATTCCTTAGTTCACCTTACTTTCCTTTTCTCTCTATATCTTCCCTCTACCTATACGTTTCCTCCCTGTCCTCTTTTGACTCCTTCCTCATCTCCCTTATTCTTTTTGCTTCCTCCCTCTCTTTCCACAATTTCCTTATTATTTCTCCTTTTACCTTATCTAACTCTTCATCATACAGTTTCCTTAAGATTTCTTCCTTATCTTTTTCTAATTTAGTAAACCTTTCTCTTATTTTCCGAATATTCCTCTACATATGCTTTAAATTATCTTTTCCCTTACCACAGAATATACACTTTTTCCTATGCTCTTCTATTCAATATTTATTATCTTCTTCCAAGTTCCCACATTTTAATTTGAACAAGGCTCTCATCTCTTCTCCTCTTTTCCGTTTCCCTAAGTTTTCTTTCCTCAAATACTCCGGAACCCTGCCATTTGTCTCTATTTTCTTATATCTCTCGTTATACCTTGCCTTATGAATTTTACAGTCCTCCCACTGTCTTTGTATTTCTCTTTCCTTATTTATTAATAGATCCTCAAAACCTTCCTCCTCATATATCACTTCCCTTGCTTTTATATTCCATTCCATTCCTATTGTAATACTTCATCCTTTCCTGTCCTGTACTCGTATACATCTTCCCATCCATTCTTCTTCTTTTCTTCTTAACTCGCATTTGTCAAATTTCCTATTCTTCCTGATTTTATTTTATGCTCAAATATCCTTGCTCTTATTCCCCATCCTACTCTGATTTTATTTTATTTTTCTTTCATAAGAAGAATTTAGATCACATTATAAGAATTCTTTTAGACAATGATTATCCTTTAAAGTTTATTTTTGATACTATACGACTAAGAAAAGACATTAACTAAAAGAAACAGACAAGCATAAGGATAAAAAAACCATCTGGAAATGTTAGTGAAAAAATTATATGGTTTACAATTCTTTACATAGAATCAATTTCGGAAAAATTTAAAAACATTATAAATAATTCTATTATAAAATCTATTATAACTTTTATATTTTAGTCTTAATAAGTTATGCACAATGATAAAAAACACAAAAGGATCTGATTTCTGCATATATGAAAAAGAATGTAGTATACAGAATATCATGTAATGAATGTGATGCATCTTATGATGGGACAGACCAACAGACAATTAAAGACAAGGATATCTGAACATAAAAATGATATCAATAGATATAAACAGGTAAAATCTGTATTGTCTGAGCATAGGTTGTGTCACAATCATAATTTTAATTGGGATAAGGTGGAAATCTTAGATAATGAGAGAAATTATAATAAGCGATTAATTTCTGAAATGATAAATATTAAACGAGAAAAGAATAGGATCAATTTAAACACAGACACGGAATTATTGAGTCCTTGATACGATTGTTTTTTAATTTAACACATTATTATGTACAATAGCGACAACAATATTTAACTTTAGAAATTATCATGTATTTTTATATTAGTTTAACTTGGGACTCGCTAAGATCGTTTAGCATAATGATATTGATCGACTTTTCTACGATATTTATTATTATAGTGAATATATCAATAACACAATCTGTTCAAGTTTTTAAATTGTGTATTTATGTCTACATGCGTACTTCCTGAGATATCTTTCATTTTAATTACAATTTATATATATAATTTTTTTTTATTCTGTGATTTTATAAATATATGATTTTAAGGTTCCAACGAGATCATCCAGTTTATCAACTGGATAACAACTGGGAGATAACCGAAGAAGTATGCAGTTGGTTTTCTTTGTAAACAACGTGAAGAAGGCTAGAATTTAGTCGAAACGTACTTGTATTCAATTATGATAAAATACATCCAAATATACTGAAATTCGTTCCAGTAATTTAAGCGCATCGATTACAGCACAGATTCCTAATTGCCCTATATAAATTTATGGTTAGTTCAGTTATCAATTAAGTTGTTATTAGAAGGAATCGTGTTACAGTTACTTATTGTATTATCCATAAGAAGCTTCTTCATAATTAAATATTTTGGGGTGCAGAAATCCAAACTAAACATCCATCTTATATAATCCATCATAACCTTTTCCAATTCCTCTTTCTCCTCTCAACTCCATATTTCTACTCCATAAGCCATAACACTTTGCACCAAATATTTAAATAAGATCCATCTCCTCCTGAAATCGTTCCTGCACAATCGTTTTCTCGCTTCATACCTTTCTTGCCGCCAGCTTACCCTTTCTATTTCATTCCTTAATGTGATCTTTACAGTTACCCCATCTATTCAAAGTAAAGATATTTAAATTCCTGCATCTCTTTTATCTCCTTTATCCCATTTCCATGTTTCCATTTTCTCTCTTCCTTTCCTATTACATACCAATACCTTAATTTTATCTGTATATAGTTTAATTTCTTTTCCTCTAAAAATCTTCTAAAACTTCCTGTAGGGCTTTCCTATTTTTTACCAATAGAACTATATCATCTGCATACGCAAGATTCCAAATCCTTTGTTTATCTATACCTATTCCTCCGATACCTCTACCTCTAAATTTTTCATCTTAAGTCCGCGATGTACAAATTGAAAAGGAGGAATTGGACTCATCACACATCAACTTTCAGTATTTCCTAGCTTCATTTTAACCGTTACTTCTATTTCCTCGTAGGTCTTCTCAATTCTTCTAACCAAACTCTCACTTATTCCTTTCTTCCTCAAGCAATCCCATAACTTACCTCTGTCCACCTTGTCAAAAGCAGCTTTCAGATCCACAAACATGAAAACTTTCCCATTTTCTCCTTTCTTGCTTCCTTCCCTCTATATGTGCATTATTACGAAAATATTATCGATCGTTGACCTTCCTCTTCTGAAACCTGCCCGAGTTTCTGAGATCATTCTTTTTTTCTCTGCCTCTTTCTCTAGTTTATTTTTCAGCATCTCTGCATACAACTTGAACGCTGTGCATAGAAGTGATACCCTTCTATAATTTGTTGTCTTTTCTTGGTATATGTCTTATATATAGGAACTATTATATTGGGTATGGCAAAAAGTTCGTAGCGTTTTTCCCATTAGATGGCATTAAATACTCACCAGTCGGTAATTATTAATCGCATCGACAACACTAGATGTGCGTTTAAAAAGTGACATTTCAACCTTTGTTTTGATCCGAAAAAGATTGAAATCGGTGAAGTGGATCAAAAGTTATTTTATTTTGAAAATGGAAATAAATAAGGAAAAAATTCGCTACATTTTGCAGTATTGCTATGATAAAAGCAAGAACGCTGCATAGGCTTGTGAAAAAATTTGTGTTATTTACGATGAAGATATCAAAATCAGCAGCACGGAAATGGTTCGCTCGTTTTCGTACTGGAAATTTCGATGTGAAAGATGAACCTCGCTCCGGTCGATCAATCACTGAAAAGTCTGATGAAATCATAGAAAAAGTCGAGCGTGATAAGCATGTGAGCACTGTGGAGATTGCCAGGGAACTAGGCATCGACAACAGTTTTAAATCATTTACACAAAGCTGGATACAAAAAGAAGCTCGATGTTTGGGTTCCTCATGTGTTGAGTGTTAAGAACACGATGGACCGAATTAACATTTGCGATACGCTACTGGAACGGAATGAAATTGAACCATTTCTAAAGAGAATGATGAAAAATGGACGAGAATCGAACTCGCAAAAGATCGTGGATAAAGGAAGGAAAGAAGGCACAAGCAATCGCAAAACCTGGATTGACGACGAAGAAGGTAATGTTGTGCGTGTGATGGGATTGGAAGGGAATCGTTCACTATGAGCTGTTATCGCCCGATCAATTAATTCCGAATTCTACTGTAAACAACTGAAAAAATTACAACAAGCAATTGAGAGGAAGCAGCTAGAATTAATTAATAGGAAGGGTGTCGTCTTCCATCGATCACGACAACGTTCGTCTTTGATAACTTGACAAAAATTGCGAGAGCTTGGCTGGGAAGTCTTAATGCATCCGTATAGTCCTGACATAGCACCCTCAAACTATCATTTGTTTAGGTCTCTGCAGAACTCTCTTAATGATGTAAAGCTGGCTTCAAAAGAGGCCTGTGAAAATCACTTGAAGCAGTTTTTCGACCAGAAATCATAGAAGTTCTATTGCGATGAGATTATGGCTCTGCTCCAAAAATGGTAAAATATTGGGTCATCTAAAAAGTATCCGCGGTACTTTGTACCGCGTACCACTAGATATATGACCATCAACACCATCTAGTGAAAAACCGCGGATACTTTTTAGATGACCCAATATTATTGAAAATAATGGAGCATATTTGGTTTAAATAAATTAATTTTAATATTCTAAGAAAAATACTTGAATTTTACTAAAAAACCGCCATGAACTTTTTCCCATACCCAATACTATGTTTTTCTTTCAATCTTCAAGTATCTTACCTTTTCTCCACACCATCTTCATTAAAGATACCAGCTTCGTCCAGCCTTTTCCCTGCATATTTCTGCACTTCTGTCGGTATCCTTTCGATGTCAGCAGTTTTCCTAAGTTTCATTTTTCTTAGTATCTTTTTTATCTCCTCTTCCTTCAATTCTTCTTCTTCTTCCAATTCTATGCTTTCATCCTCCACTTCCGTTTCCTCTCCTTCAGCCTCCTCGCTATCCAATAATTCCTTCAAATGATTTCTCTATTGCTCTTTATTTATACTATTTTCAATCTGCCTCTTTCTGCCCCTCTTCTTATTAATATATTTCCATATATTCCACCTCTCTTTTCAAGTTCCTTAATTCCTCTTCTTCTTCTTCCCCTTTTTCTCTTTGCTTCTTCTTCAGCAATTCCTTAAATCTCCTTTTCTCTTGCAAATAGTCTTCGCTTCCTATTTTTCCTTTCCTCCATCTCCGTACGACTTTTTTACTTCCCTCTTACTTTTGGTACAACTTCTGTCCCACTAATCCTTGTGCCCTAATTCCTTACTCTTTCTTTTTACCCTCTTCTTTATCAATGCACCATATATTACTTGTATAATTTCCCCTCAGCTTTCTTCGATACTTTTCCCTTCTTGTGTCCCTTCTTCTTTTCGCTCCTCTTCCTCTGTTGCGTTCCTCTGGTACTTTTCTATTGCTTCCGCATCTCAAGCTATTATGTCTTCTTTCCACACTCGTTCCGCTTCTGTGGTTGGATTCTTTTCTTCTTCTTCCTGCTCTCTGATCTTTAGGCACAAAGGCAAGTAATCCGAATTCACTCTTACATTCACTTTAAAATCTATAATCCTAACCTTTACATCTTCATTAACCATTACGTAATCTATAATCGAATTACTCCTCGCTCCTATATACGTATATTCGCCCTCCCAGTCTCCAGATGTATTTCTGTTTACAATGTATAAGCCTTTATCTCTTACTCATTCCACAAAGCTCCTATCTCTATTTCCTATAGTTTTAACCTTACTACGAGGGCAAGTTGATAAATTCTTAGAAAATCTGTCAGAAGACACTCGCAGTGTCATATCATATTACTTTTTGACAAGCAGCTGATTACTGTCAAATTTTGAGCAGAATTCATCGCGTAGTTTCACTTCTGTAGATGATTAACGAACAACCTTTGTATTTTTTGCAAAATGGAAAAAAACGAGTTTCGTGCAGTGATTAAACATCTACATATGAAAGATTTAACGCCGAAAGAAATCAAAGCCGAGTTGGATAATGTTCATAGCACATCTGTACCAGTGTTTGCGACTGTACAATTCGGAATTTAAACATGGTCATACATCCACATGTGATGCACTTCGTTCGGGATGTCCAATTGAGGCTGCTACGCCAGAAATCATCGATAAAGTTCACGATATTGTTTTGACTGATCGACGAGTGAAAGTGCGCGAGCTTGTTGAGGTCACAGGCATATCATATGGCAGTGATTTCAATTTTGCACGAATAATTTGGGTATGAAAAAACTCGGCAAGATGGGCCGCATTTGCTCACTGTGGACCATAAGCGCGATCGTGTGACGATTTCAAAACAATGTTTGGAGATGTTTCAACGTAATTCAGATGAATTTCTGCATCGATTCATTACTGAGGACAAAATATGGATCCATTACTTCACACCCGAGACGAAGGAACAGTCAAAACAATGGACTTCACCGAGTGAACCAGCTCCGAAGAAGGCGAAGACCGTGAAGTCGGCCGGAAAGTTGATGGCCGTAGTTTTTTGAAATGCACGCAGTATAATTCATATCGATTACTTTCCATCGAAGCAAACGATCACTACGATTGGCGATTACTACGCAGCCTTATTGGACCATTTCAATAACATTTTAAAGAAAAAATCCCTATTTGGCGAAGAAGAAAGTGCTCTTCCATCAAGACAATGCACGAGTTCACACGTACCCGGCATCGATGGCCAAATTCAACGAATTCCGCTACGAATTACTTCCTCATTCAGCATATTCGCCAGATTTAGCGACTATTTCTTGTTTCCATACCAGAAAAAATGGTTCGAGGAAAGAGAGCAGTTCATCGCTCACCGAAACAGAGACTTATTTTGAAGTTAGAGGTTGGATAAATCATATTATTCGGACGGCTTGAAAAAGTTGGAAAATCGTTGGATCAAGTATATCGAGCTGAAAGGAGACTATGTTGAGAAATAAAAATGAATCGATCGAAAAAAATGTGTTTGCTATATTTTTCTAAAAACTTATTGACTTGCCCTCGTTCATCTCTCCACTTCTTTTCCTCCTATTTTCACTCCTCCTAGTTCCCCTATTCTTATATTCAAATCGCCTCCCACGATTAAATTTCATTCTTCTCCTTCCCTTATACATCCTTCCATCTTTTCCTCCAAATTTTTCCCCTTGTTCTCCATAAACTGAGACAATCCTTACTCTTTCCTTATTTATTACTAATTCCGTACTTATTATATTGGGAGTACAAATTAGTTCGGTCCTTTTTCTAAAAGATAGCTCCGGTTGTTTGTGAATGGTTCATAGTGACAGCTGATTTTGGCGTTTTAGAGAGGTTAGACATCTACTAATAATATTCAGTTTATATCGCTTTGAGTTTCATACAAAAACTTTGATTTTTACTGTGTTTGAAATGTCGAATTTTGTGTTAATCAAGCAACATTTGCGGGAGGTTCTAATTTTCTGCTTTAATTGAAAGAAAAGTGCAGCTGAAGCCCATCGAATGCTTGTCGAAGTTTATGGTGACACTGCTCCAACTGATAAATCATGTAGGGAATGGTTTCGACGTTTCAAGGATGAAGCGTTGAAGACAAGCCTCGCTCTGGACAGCCAAAAAAATTCGAAGACAAAGAATTAGAGGCATTACTCGAAACAGATCAGAGTCAAACGCAATAGGAGCTTGCAGAATCATTGGGAGGAACTTAACAAGCCGTTTCTGCACGATTGAGAGCCATGAGAATAATTCAAAAACAAGAAAATTGGATGTCTTATGAACTGAAACTGAGAGACGTTGAAAGGCGATTTTTCATTTGCGAACAGCTGATTCAAAGACAACAAAGAAAAGGTTTTTTGCATCGGATTGTGACTGGAGATGAGAAGTAGAAGGATATTCTACGACAACCCCAAGAAGAAAAAATAATACGCTAAGCCCGATCAATCGTTGCCATCGATCTCAACATCAACACCAAACATTCATGGTTCGAAGATCATGCTGTGTATCTGGTGGACCAAAAGGGTGTTGTTTACTATGAGCTGCTGAAACCTGGCGATTCCATTACGGGCAATCGGTATCGGCTACAATTGATTCATTTGAAGTCTTCTGTAAGAATGACTATTAAACAAAGCTAAACTTCTAATATTCGTATATCTTTTTAGATGTGGCGGAACTAAATTGTGATTAATACAATATTTCAAGAATCTGATGCGAGTTCTAATATTAACGCTACATTTAATTAGGTTACAAAACTCTTTCAAAAATTGACAAGCTTCAAAGCCATATTCATATCGAATATAAGAAAAAGAGAAATTAAAATATTTATAAAAATGACATTATTTCGCCCGCGTATATAAAATTAAAAGTAATAAAAAGGCTCTGTACTTATAAACAAAAGGTAGTATAAAAGAAGAGTAAAGAGCCAATAACATATAAAAGAATTTTAATTTAAATAAGCAAAATTAATACAAAACAATTAAAATAAAACAAACGTTTCAACTCCAATCGAGTCATTTTCAATGCAATCTTACAATAATATAAACATTGTTCTAAATTAAAAATTCGTACATGGTCTTACAATATTCTTACAATTCCTTAATATAAAATTTTTTCTTTCTGTGTAATACGCTGCGAGTCATTTATAGGCCTTGATGGAAAAATAAGTTTTTTAGATACGATGTTGATTATTGAAGAATGGAATCTTATTTTTGATATATACCGTAAAGCAACTTTTTCCGGCAGATTTCTTAATTTCCATTCACACCATCCACTTTGTCATAAAAGAGGTGTAATTTATGGAGTTGTGGAAGATTTTTTATTTGTGTCATCCGAAATTCTAACAAAATAATTTGATTGACGCTATTAAGATTTTTTTACAGAATGGGTATCCGTTACATTTTATTTTTTCGACTATTCATAATAGAATCAGATATCACATTAATAAAATTAATAATTTGAATAAAAATAAGAATGAGAGATTTTTTACGATTCCATATGTTAATACGATATCCGAAAGATTTATACCTATTGTTAATATGTAATTGTAAATTGGCTTTTACTATGTATTGAGGAGAATCATTTAAATGGGATAAAGTGGAAATATTAGATGTAGAGCCTTCAGATATCACATTAATAAAATTAATAATTTGAATAAAAATAAGAATGAGAGATTTTTTACGATTCCATATGTTAATACGATATCCGAAAGATTTATACCTATTGTTAATATGTAATTGTAAATTGGCTTTTACTATTCCTAACATATTAGTTTCATAAGGAGAGGAAAGGATGATTTAGAACACGTTCAGAATCAAAATGTGGTCTACAGAATATCTTGCGAGGATGTGGCAGCCAGTGATACGTTGGCCAAAGACAATTAAAGATCAGATTGCATGAACATGTTTCTGATATCAATATAAGTTCAAAATCTCCATCAGTAATTTCCAACCAGTATTGAGGAGAATCATTTAAATGGGATAAAGTGGAAATATTAGATGTAGAGCCTTCATATAATAAAAGGTTGATATCTGAAATGGTCCATATTAAAAAACAGAAATATGGGATTAATAGACGAAATAACACGGAGTCTTTGCCGGAATTGTATTCTGACATTATATTGGGTCATCTAAAAAGTATTCGCGGTTTTTTGTCACTAGATGTGTGTTGATGGTCATATATCTAGTGACAAAGTACCGCGGATACTTTTTAGATGACCCAATACATTCTCTTTCTCCTTTCTAACATCTCTCCTTTTTCCCCCTATTTTTCTGTTTTTCGTTCTCGATAATGTTTTTCTGCTTGACATTTCGTTTTTTGATATCGTGTAAGTCAGATGCTTGTTACCTTTGCGAATTTGTTTATAATAACTTATAAAATAAAAAGACTATTATATTGTACCACGAAATGGATTACAGTCTACATTTTTTTCTCGTTGTGTATTATTGGACTCTTAACAGATTTATTAAGGTATATTATCATATTACTAATTTTTATGTGATTAATATTAATTCTTTTTGTTCACGGTTACTTTTCCAGAATTTTCTTATGACTTTGTTAATTCTTGATATAAATGACTCGCAGCGTATTACACAGAAAGAAAAAATTTTATATTAAGGAATTGTAAGAATATTGTAAGACCATGTACGAATTTTTAATTTAGAACGAGTTTATATTATTGTAAGATTGCATTGAAAATGACTCGATTGGAGTTGAAACGTTTGTTTTATTTTAATTGTTTTGTATTAATTTTGCTTATTTAAATTAAAATTCTTTTATACGTTATTGACTCTTTACTCTTCTTTTATACTACCTTTTTATAAGTACAGAGCCTTTTTATTACTTTTAATTTTATATACGCGGGCGAAATAATGTCATTTTCATAAATATTTTAATTTCTCTTTTTCTTATATTCGATATGAACATGGCTTTGAAGCTTGTCAATTTTTGAAAGAGTTTTGTAACCTAATTAAATGTAGCGTTAATATTAGAACTCGCATCAGATTCTTGAAATATTGTATTAATCACAATTTAGTTCCGCCACATCTAAAAAGATATACGAATATTAGAAGTTTAGCTTTGATTCATTTGAGCCGTGCATTGCGAGAAAAACGGTCGGAATACGAGCA